AGATCTTGGTTTCCCTTTATACGGCATGGACTCTTTACAGGATTCAATTATTGCTCTTCTAACATTTCTAGCCAAATCAATCACATCTCGCTTATCCATACATTCATTATATAAGGGAACCTTAGCTGCATACGCTTTATCAAAAATCTCCCATTTTGCTTTGTTACTTGTGAATCTAGAGGTTAACGATTTCTCGTTTCTAATATTTAGAGGGCCATCACCACTCACCTTGAACATTAGAACGTTATGATCACTTGATATCCAATTTTCTTTTACAGACCAATCTTCAATCATTCTTATCGCTGATTCTGACGCCAACGTGACATCTATATTGCTCTCTCCGCCTACTCTAGAGTAGGTATTCGGATTGCCTTCTTCGTTAACTATATACAGGTTCGTCTCCATAATCAAAGCTTCAAGCGCTTCACCCTCTTTGGTCAAATCATCTGAAAACCACATCGGCGATCTCGCATTGGCATCAATGCAATATACAACTTTATGTCTTCTAAGTATTTCTGCGATATTTCTAATTCTTTCCAGAAATGGTTCAATTGGCATTGAGTACTGGAAGTACCCACTTATAATATATATCACTATTTCACCGTTGTCTATTTGGGCACAGGCTATATGCGTATCGCAGAGATGCTCGACTTTCATAACCGTCAGTGACTGGTCAAGTATGGCTATGGCTGCCCAAGCAGTCTCTCCTTTCTTTTCCCCAGAAACTATCTTCGCTCTGCTTCCAAAACTTGCGACTCTCCCTTTTATAGTATACGGTTCTTGTATTGCTACAACATGGATATCCCTTACGTCCGCTTCATATCTTATTTCAGCTACTGTTTTCATCGCCCTACCAGCATTTATTTGCATGATTTTAATCTCCCTTTTACCCGACATCTTCAATACCATAGTTGGTTCTCTCAATCAGCCTATTTAATGCCGCCGTATATGCTGGACAGGATTTGTCATTGACCGAGTGATCTGCCTTTTTCTTTGCTTGTCTACATGGCAAGCATGTAGCACTCTTGTTATTTTTTCTATCGGCGCAGTTGGCAATTAAATGACCCTTACTCGCACAATATGAGCATGTTGGTTCTTTATCCAGACAAAACTTAGCTATATGTCCATACAGCTGGCAGTTGTAGCATCTGGTGACACCTTTATAGTCTTGAACTTTACAAGACTGCCAATTCAAATATATCCTGTTACTTTCTCGTGATCTTATGGCATTTCTTATCTTTGGGGTTACCTCAATTACCCAATTGGTCCACGGCCCTTCTCTTTTACCTATTTTGAATCTCGGAACGAAGTCCCTTTTGAAATCCTCCTTGCTAATGTCCCCTAATAAATTATCATTTTGGCCATACACACTTTCGATAAGTTTATCTGTTTCAAGTTCTCTAGGAACATCAAAGATCACGAGTTTGGGATTCAGTGCTCCTGAACGTTCTGCCTTAAATCCATTCTGACTAAGGTTTTTGTGCTCAATTATTTTCCTTAGATCCTCCGCCGTTGCTGCCTCAATTGTTATTTTTCCATCACCTCTTTTCCGAACCCCTTTAATTTTTATCCGTTCCTTTCCCGGATCAATCAGATCCATTACCTCCTTCTTCAGTTTATCTAGGTCTTCTTTAACTTCGTAGCTCTCTGGAGGCGTTACAATAGCTACTTGTGCTAACACCGGAATTTTTCTGCTTGATCCACTAATAGGTGGAATCCTGTTCTGTATTTCCGACCTAGTTCTCTGTTCACCTTTGCTAGCTATTGACGCATATGACGGTCTCTCGTCTTTATGCTTTTCCAGCATCATTTTTAGAGAGAAAATCTCCGAATCTTTACTGTCCACTAATCCCTTTAAGTAAGCATTTCTAGTTAGGAGCTCGTATGTCAATTTCGCCAAATCCGAGATGTGTCCCATAATTTCTGAGGTGAGTGTTTTTGTTACTCGCTTTGATGGATCATTCTCACAGCACTTTCGAACTGCCTCTTCTACATATTGAATATCCCCTATGGTACAGTCACTTTTCGCCAGTGAGTCCATCCACTCTTCCTCATTTGACGAGTCCATATCTATACATGATCTCTTCCTAACATGCTTTTCCCTTCTTTCAATACTGCTTTTGCTACTAGATCCCCTTACAGTTTTGCTTTCATTCGAGCCTAGGAGCTCATTATCATCTTCCATTGGCACATAAAGATTTTTATTTATTTCTGACATTTTTCATTATTTTTATTTTAGTCCTGAAACTTAAGATTTTAGAATAGTATTCTGAGAGTATTCTCCTTAGGAATACAGCGCTTTACGCTTTCCAAGACATAGAGAGGCTTTGTCTTATTGTGGCCTCGGCAGTGCCCCCCGATTCGGATCAACAGGGCCTAGCACGTGCACCACACGTCACTATTGACTCCGTCGGGATTATGCGCCACATGATCAGGCAGCCAGCTGGTTTTGGTTTTAACCACCCGGGCCTGTGCACTATATGGCGGCCTGGTGTGCCAC